GAGAATGATGTGATAGAGAGAGACTGGGGAGCTAGGGAAGGCTGCTTCACTTCGTCTAGACTGGTCAAGGAAGGCCTCTTTACGGAGATGCCATTGGAATGGAGACCTGAATGATGCAGGTGCATACAGATGTGGGGAGGGAACATTCAGGGCTGAAGAAACAGCAGTGACAGACCTTTAGGACAAGGGTCTGGAAATAGTTGTATACGAATGCTAAGTGATTAATAATGGTTATTTCCTACCAGTGAGATTACCAATCAGTTTTTATTTTATTGTACCGGCTTACTTGTAATATTCTTCTACAATTGACAGGGATTACTTTATTCAAAAGTGAAAGCTAATATAGTAACAAAATGGCACTTCATCTGCATGCTTTAAGTGGTGGTTTCCCAAAATGATTGCAGCCAACAACAAAGATAAAGCCTTAATCTGAAAACAAGCGGGAGTGCGCTCTGCCAATGGCATGATTAAAACAACCTAGTTTACAAACTGTTCTTATCTTGCCTTGCTATTTTCTTTGATTGGGAAATAATTCATTTTACTGGGTGAAATAGTCAATGGAAGCATAAGTACTGTTTAAAGCTGCATATTTGCTGAGAGAGCTAGATCTAGATTGTGCAGATTGGGGCAGATTTATTTTGGTTCAAAGTTGTGATAAATGAGATGCAGCCCTGTTAAAATCAAATGGGAATGCGTCAGCGATCCTCAACATGACTTCCAATAACACAAATCCAAAATTAGATGCAAACAGGCGTACACGATCTTATGCACAGGACGTACAGACAGTGCCAATTGCCAGGGAGGAAAAACAAACCATCTGCCTTCTATTGATTCTGCAGGGAGCAACTCACTGAATCATCACATTTCTTCCAAGTGAAATAAGAACTTTGGTCTTTGGTCCATTCTCTGATAAGAGGTTAATAAATGATCCAAGGGAAAACACACATTCGAAATCACGCTATATAGCTATTTTCAGTTTCTTTTCTTTAAATCAATGTGATTTAATCTCCAAACACTGGCTGTTTGCTGTGGCAGCAGAGAGAAATGTGATTAGAACCACACAGCTGGTTAATTCACTAAAGATGCAGAAAGTCTGTGGAAAAAGGAGCTATTCTTTTGCAAATAATGAAAAGTTAACAATTCAAACTTTCTTTGGCAAAAGAAGGAAGAAACTTGCAACTTTATTGCGCTAAATTTTTATGAGCATTTGCAGCACAAATTGAAATTAAGTATGTGTGGGATTTGGAGTAAATACACCTTTGGGGATATAGAAAAAGGAGGGTTGAATGTTTTCGAGGAAGACCAGAGGGGAAAAATCATTTTCTGAGAAGTTTTGCTTTAGTTCGGCTTTGCCTAAGGGACTTTTAGGATTTATCTGAACTCTGAAGTTCTGTCAGATGTTACCTTTTAATGAAAGGCAGATAGATTTAGAGTCATAATAGGCTCACTTGGTTTGAAACTTTAATGAAAATTGAACATTTATAAGAACACTGACATTAAACATTTTGACCTACTCAGTTTTCCGTCATATGCATCTATTGTTACAAAAAAGTTTTAAACTTCTCTGAAGATATTGAATTTGTTGTTTAAGGCAGTTTATAAAGCAGACAGGCCTGTGTGCTTTCTGTAGATCAAGGAACATCACAGAGATATTAAAGAATACTGTTTGCTTGGATTGCATGTAAATCAAATAAAAATGCATCAGACTAACATCTTCACTATTACCATTGACAAAGCATTTGTTATTGTTTTGAGTAAAAAAAGGGGTCATTGCAGTAATTACATTTATAAATGAAAAAAGGTTTGCCCTTCAGAGGGTGTGATACAAATACAATGTTCTTTAAATAATGAAAATTGCATAGAAATCCTAAGAGTCATTAAATAAATTGATGATTCAAATCTATTTTTACAAAGGTTGCTGGGAAAAAGTCAAGGATCAAAAAACAATTGTTTTTTTACCAAGAGAACTTAAAATAATTACTCAAAACAATTAGAAAACATGAATGAAATGAAGTAGTAAATGAAATGGATTAATTAAGCATCAAATATAAGTCCATTATCACAGATTTTGCCCTTCATGTGACAAGCACCAATCGATTGGTGATTATTGTGTGCAGTTACTAAAACAGACAACCCTATAAAATATAAATATAAAGATATAAACTTTTAAATCTTTTATTTATTGTTTTTTTAAATAAATTTTAAAATCTTTTTATTTATTGTTTTTTAAGTTTCTTTGTATTACATTTTTTCCGTCTCCATTTATCCGCTATACCCCCTCCCCCCTGCAATCAGCACACTATTGTCCACATTTATGAGTCCTTTTTCCTTTTTGTTCAGTCCCTCCACCCCTAACTCCCTCACCCCCACAGCTGTCAGCCTGCTCTCTATGTGAGTCTGTCTCTGTTTTGCTTGTTAGTTCAGTTTGTCCATTCAATTCCCCATGTGTGTGAAAGCATATGGTATTTGTCTTTCTCTGACTGGCTTATTTCACTTAGCATAATGTTCCCCACGTCCATCCATACTGTCAAAAAGGTCAAATTTTACTGTTTTTACAGCCAGGTAATCCACTGTGTAAATATCCCATAGTTGTTTTATCTATTCATCTACGACTGGACACTTGGGCTGCTTCCATATCTTGGCCACCGTAACTTAACACTGCAATTACACACAGGGGTGCTTATCTTCTTTTGAATCAGTGTTTTGGGTTTCTTCAGATAAATTCCCAGAAATGGAAACGCTGGGTAATAAGACAATTACATTTTTAATTTTTTGAGGCATCTCCATACTGCTTTCCACAGCAGCTGCACCAATCGGCATTCCCACCAACAGTGCAAAAGTATTCTTTCTCCACATCCTCACCCGCACTTGCTGTTTGTTGATTTATAGATGAAAGCCATTCTGACAGGTGTGAGATGACTTCTCATTGTGGTTTTAATTTGCATTTATCTGATGATTAGTGAAATTGAGCATTTTTTCATATGTCTATTGGCCATCTGTATGTCCTCTTTGTAGAAGTGTCTATTCAGGTCCTTTGCCCATTTTTTAAATTGGATTATTTGGGTTTTTGGTGTTGATTTTTAAAAGTTCTTTATAAATTTTGGATATTAATTCCTTATCAGATGTATTGGTGAATATGTTGTTCCATTCAGTGGGTTGTCTTTTTATTTTGTGGATGTTTTCCTTTGCTGTGCAAAACTTTTTAGTTTGATGTAGTCCATTTGTTTATTTTTCCTTTTGTCTCCCTTGCCAGAGGAGATACATCAGAAAAGAAATATTGCTACGAGCAGTGTCTGAGATTTTACTGCCTATGTTTTCTTCTAGGATCTTTGTGATTTCAACTCTAACGTTTAAGTCTTTAATCCATTTTGAATTTATTCTTGGGTGTGGCAAAAGTGGTCTACTCTCATTTTTCTGCACTATCTGTCCAATTTTCCCAATACCATTTATTGAATAGGCTGTCTTTACCCCATTGTATATTCTTTTTTAACTTTTTCTTTGGCCAACTAATAACCTCTGTTACTTTACTCAACAAAGAGGCTCTGGACAGTCATGCCCTTTCACTGAACAGTGGGTGCCATCCACAGTTAGCCTGTTGGTGGTACAGCTGTAATGAAAGGCACAGACAGTATTCTTTTAAATACATTTAAAAATAGAATTTCCATGAGCAGCTCATCCTCTAAATGCCATGAGAGGAAGAATCACTGCCAGGATGACATGAAGTTGTGGACTATTTACACATCTTTCCAACAGTTAAAAATGGTCTGCTTTAAATACACATGCCAAATTGGAGTTTCCTTTAAAGAATGTAAATGTAACAAGATGGTCTACTCATTGCAAAGTTGTCCAGACCTTGAAAAATGGTGCAATGGTATACATTTTTCTTTTTATACATTGAGATATCATTGACATGTAACATCAGTTTCAGGTGTACAGCATAATGATTCAATATATGTGTAGATTGCAAAATGACCACCACAGTAAATCTAGTTAACATCTGTCACCATAGATAGTGACAATATTTTGTGTGATGAGAACATTTAAGAACATTTTCAAAGACGCAAAAGAAAACCTCAAACTCAAGATATAACATATATTTTAAAAGTTGATAAAGCTCAAATATACCATTTTAAACTGCAAATTGTAAACTTGTTTCAGAACATTTCAATAAAACAGATGTGAAAGTACAGATTTTTTCGAGCTATCTTAACGTCAGCATCAGATGATCTCTCTCGTATGTGGAGTCTGATGAACAAACTGAACTAACAAGCAAAATAGAGAAAGACTCATAGAGAACAGATGACAGTTATGGGGGGTTAGGGGGTGGAAGGATTGAGAAAAAGAAAAAGGACTCATGGACATGGACAACTGTGTGGTGATTGCGGAGGGGAAGGGGGGAAGGGGGACAGATATTAATGGAAAAAATATAATTAAAAAGTTAAAGCTAAGGGAAATGTAAACAAAATTATTTGAATATAAATAAAATTGCGTTAAAGTCTAGTAAAATCGATAAATAATTCTGACATCTGAAATAATATTTTAAGAAAAAAATATCCATAGGTAAACTACACTACATCTCTAAACTCTCATAGGCAGTGAGTGACTAAGAATGCTACTAGGTTGTTGAGGGCCCTGCCAAGCCCCTGGGACACACATGCAGTTCATGATTTGTGACTTCAGAAACACTCTAAGAGTGATAGTATCAGTGTCAGACAGTGGACCAAATAGTGGTCAAGGGTAACTAGTTTTCTACTATAAAAAGTTACTTTAAGCCCTGGCTGGTGCTGGTTAGAGCTGCATCGTGCATGGAAAGGTTATTGGTTTTGTCCCTGGTTGGGGCACACAGAACAAGCACCCATGATGCTTCTCGTGTTTCTCTCCCTCCCTCCCCTCTCCCTCCCTTCTTCCCCTTCACTCCTGCCTTCTTCTCTCCCTCCCCCAAGCCCGCTCTTCTTTTCCCTCCCACACTGCCCTTCCCTGTTCCTCTCTCACATCCTCTTTCTCTAAAATCAGTAAGTGTATTCTGAGTGAGGATATTTTTAAAAGTAACTTTAAATCTAAATTCTGGTATTAACTCCATGACTGGACTGGGTCTGATGCATTTCCTGGGAGGTACGAACAGGATTTTAGAGGCTAATGCTCTTAGGTATTTTTGTTCTATAAAATCCTAAGATCTAGGTCCTGGCAGGTAGCTCAGTTGGTTAGAGTGTCTGTCGTCCTGATATGCCAAAGTTACAGGTTTGATCCCCAGTCAGGGCACATACAAGAAGCAACCAGTGAAGGCATAAATATCTGGGACAACAAATCGATGTTCCTCTCTCCTTCCTTCCTTCCCTTCCTCTCTCTCTTAAATCAGTAAATAAAAAAATTAAAATCCTACTATCCAATATCAAGTTACTATAACTTCACTCTATGAGTAATATATTAGGCTCTGGTCCAAGTAATACTAATTATTCATCTCGTTGTGAATAATGATCAACTCTGCCTTAATATGAATACATTAGCCATTTAACATGCTCATATTAATTCTTTGGCTTTTGGGAAAGAAAAGTAAAGATTTCCAACTGCATTTTCTATGTGCTGTATTTTGCTGTGTATAACACACAATTTTTTGCCCAAATGTTTGAGGGGAATATAATGATGTACATTATACATGGGTATAATGATTACATGCCACGGGTATAATAATCCTGTGTATAATGCACACGAAAATGTGGGTACACATTATACATGGCAAAGTACGGTATTTGCCTAAACATTCTCCCTAGGTTTAAAGTATTTGGGGATGTGTGTTCTACCTTATAATTAATAGGAAGACATCATTGATGGAACATAATACTGGTAGAATATTAACATACTGAAAACTTCATTGGAAGAAAGTGTTTTTGGGATAAATCGTAGGGTTTATCACACCTCCAAACTAAGAGCGGCGTTATTCGAATGGTCGAACACAGTCTGCAGCCTTGCCGCCCAGCAGCACTGAGCACCCTGTGTAGCGTGACCCATAGGACCACACTGTCAAAGCCCAGAGGCTGGCACTTACCCAGTAGAACTTTGTGATTCAACTTTGATGTGATTAAATAAATCATATTTCTGCAAATTTCCTCTCCAGTTTGTCACACCGGCCATTAAGGTAGGCAGTGGATGGTGTGGACAGAGACCTGGCATACCTGCACCTTAACGTTTGGTGGGGAGAAGGGAGGGGTGCTTCATCGTTTGGTAACCTTGGGTGACTTTCTTCTAAATCATGTTTTTAGACTTGACTGTCTGTGTTCCAAGATGCCTATTCCTGGTCCAAATTTCATGATATTTTAAAGCTAAAAATTATACATTTCTATAGATGTACCTGATTGATTTACCAGCCATTAGATAAAATCTTTTGCCGTAAATGCTTTGCCATTTGAGTGCAGTTCTCATGTTGAGTACACCTCAAAGAATTCCTCTGCCTTCACCAGGACCGTTCCTCCCTCCCTCCTTCCCTCTCTCCCATAAATCTCCTTTTCTATGACAGCCATAGAAAGTCCCTGGCAATGTGTCGCTATATGTCAAACGTGGCTGCAGAAGGGGTAGGACTTTAGCCCTTCCCTTAATACTTAGTAGTTTTCATCGCTCAGTCAGGGTTCAAATGTACCTGACAGTTGAGGAGGTCCATCATTTTATGCAGTTAATCCTCTAAGTGAAGAATTATTTACTTTATAATTTGAGGCACAATGGTCTAGAAACTTTTTTAAAAGAGCCCATGAAGAGGAAAATTGTGCACTACCAAGTGGCCCTGTTATATTTTCTTTCCCTTTTTTTTAAAACTTTGGGAGGAAAATCTGAAAAACTCCCCCAAATAGAACAGCAAATATCGGATTAGGAAACACCCTTTCTACCATAAGTCACCAATACAAAAATTAAAGTTGTATCAGTTCTGGAAATGGCAACCCAATGAGAGGTATCACCAGATCCTTGCAAGGGCAATCCCATGAGAGAGAGGGAAGGAAAATAACCCTCCGTGGGGAAACACACGCACCCACACATGCACAAACAGGAAGCTGTGATAATACACTCATGCTCCTCCACACGTGTGTATGTGAAGGTGCTTCTGAGTGTTCGCTTTGCTTGGCTTAGCTACAGCTTTCATGTGGCCTATTCATTAAGCTAGTTGCCTATATCGCCAGCTTATACAAAGTTCTCCACTCCATCTAATCATACCGACCGAAGCTCTGGAGCACAGACAGTTCACAAAGAATAGGTCGCATGTTCTTTTTGTTTCCACCGGTTGAGTTGCATCTTGACTGGGACTCATTTTTATTTGTTCCAAACCTGAAATGATAAATATTACAAATAAAGTCAGTTCAATAAGGTAGAATATTGCCATGCCTATGAAAATGCAGTTAAATTTTTTAATTTAAATATTTATTTTTGAGAGAGAGGAAGAGAGGGAAAGAAACATCAAGGTGGGAAAGGAACGTCTGCGTGAGAGGGAAACATCAATATGGAGACCTGACTGGGTACCCAACTTAGAACCCAGGCATGTGCCCTGACTGGAAATCGAACCAGAGACTTTTCACTTTTCAGGATGATGCCCAATCAACTGAGCCACATTGATCATGGCAAAATTTTTTAATGTTTTTAGAAAGGGAGTCATTAAAAAAAAGCTTCCGAGTTAGGTGTGGGCAAGAAATCAGTAGCAGATTCAGGAGGAAAATATTAACATTCTATAGGAATTCTGCACTGTTCTTTCTCTGAGTGCCTCTGAGTTCTAATTCTCTTTAAAAACAAGGTCTGGTGGCCAATTACAAATGTGATAGACACAAGAAAGACAGCAACTGCTCCATGGCTGGGTGTATTTCCAAAAACAACAGCTTGGCTCTTTCAAAAGATCAATGAAAAGATGTACATTTGTATGTTTTAAGTCAAAATAAAAAAATTAAAGGTGTGTATACATGATGTTGTCAAGACTTCCTGCACTTAGCTATATTTTTCCCATTGACCAGTTGTCTATTAGTCTGGATTTTATCTTAGAAAAGTGGTTCTAATATAATTAACTAATGTTGGTCCCATTCTGCAAAGTACTTGAGTCACCTTATAGAAACACAGGTGGCTTTGGAAAAGTGCAAAAAATGTTATATCTGTCAAATGTGCATAGGTGTTATATAACAGTATAAAGTATAAAGTCAAACTAAGATTTTCAAGAGGAGAAGAAGGGACAGAATAATCGAGACAGCTGTATTTAGTTCTGAGGTTTGTGATGCATTAGTTTTCTAGCTGCCAAAGCCAAGAGAGAAACTGGCCACAAGATTCATAGCATCTAAAATTAAACGAAAGAAATGTGAAAACAGACTAGATGTTCAGGCAAGGCACAGCTTTTCCTGATATTGAGGAAAGAATCTGATAAATGGCAGCAGCAATCTGCTATGGTTGTTTGGATACTAAAATATAGCTGAAATAAAATACACTTATAAAGTGCTTTAAAAAACTAAAAAGACTTTATTACACGGCAGTATTTCAGTATAAATTTTCCAAATTACCTTACACTAACAGCAGCTCACTTTTGAGCACTTAGCCAAAGCAGGAACAGCTCACAGCCTAGGCAGATGGCGGCAGTGTTCCTCGGAAGGACCACAGGGGGTAGGAGACATGACAGTTACCGTTTTAAAGACAAGAATCCGAGTCCCTGAGGTCAGGAGTGTAGGGCCAGCCTGCAGGAGACCAGACCAGGAAGCCCTGCTTTCTCCCAGGCTGAAATTGACCTTCTCAAGTATTTTTAGTTCACACCACTGATCTCATCCTTGGATGGTTTCTTTGAGCAGTTTTTGCTCGTAATTATAATCAAACCGGCTGGCACGTTAGAATCACCTGGGCAAAATGTTTTTTGGTTTTACCTCCCTCCTTCCCCTCATCCCAGAGATTCTGATTCAATTCCTCTGGAGAGGAACTTGGCATCAGCATTTTAAAAAATCCTCCTAGGTTGAGAAACTGTGGAAGTGAGGCAAGGACTTCTTTATTCTTAGTGATAAATGATGCTTTGCGAAATAAATGTGCTAAGTTTCATGTTTTGGGTTCACTGTCATCTCAGCGTGTGACACAGTCTTTTCCCCCCCTCCCCACTCTGCCTCCGCTCCTACCCTGCCTCCAGCCCATACACACCGATAACTGGGCTGAGACAACTGAGGCTGTTTCAACTTTATGTCTTCTTTTTGGTAGGTATCGCCAATATCTAGGAACAATTCTCTCAAATCGGCATCACCTGGCTTGGATTCATTGGGAAGGAACGGAAAAAGGGGAGGGGAACACTGCTCATTACAAACCCCAGAGCCCCCATGATGGTGCCGCCGCCCCACCCTACATCTCAGCCTGGTCTTCCAATGCCCTGGGGCTGGGGACTTGTAGAACAGCCTGTTCTTCTGCTGATGATGAATCTGCCACTGTTTTGGGTAGCTCTCAATATAATTGATATTACAACACCTCACTTTTCCAGCTTTATAGCTTCTGTTACAATTCTAGATTAGCACAAAAAGTTTCATTTACCATCCCATTACATTAATTTTACTCACCTTGAAGAATTTTCTGGTTCTTTATTTCTGTGTCACGAATCACCCCAAAACTTCCTGGCGTAAAACACCATATTTCATTATGCTCTCGGGTGTGATGGGTCAGGGGTGTGGACAGCCCCTCGGTGGGGCGGCCTCAGTGAGGAGGCTCAGATCTCTGCAGGTGACTTGAATGGTGGTGGACAGGAATCCCCTGGAGGCTTCTTCACTCCCGTATTTGGTGCCTCGGCTGGAGTGACTTGAAGGCCAGCTGCAGCTGGGACTGTCACTGGCTTAGCTTAGATAGGGGCACCCCATGGGGCCTGGGCTTCCTCACACCTTTGCAGCAGCTCAGGTGTCTGCGAATCAGTGTTCTACCGAACATACGAGGCTCTTCCTGCTTCCAGGCCTCCTGTCCTAGCCCCGGGCGGTCACTTTGCATCACTTCTGCTAAATTCCACAGACTGAAGCAAAGACAGACCTGCTCAGAGCCAAAAGAAGGAGAGAAAACCCCGCAAGTGTTCTTTAGACTTGAGGATAAAATCTCTTTGTCCCCCACAAAGTACATACTGCCTCTTTTAACAGGAACTATTTAAATATTTGTTGGATGAACTAGTATAGCTAATGCTCTATATAGTTTATAAATATCTAGCCCTGGCCAGTGTCACCCAGTTGGTTAATCATCATCCCAGAAACCAAAAGTCTGAGGGTTTGATTCCCAGTTGGGGCACAAGCCTGAGTTGTAGGCTCAGCCCCCAGTTGGGATGCATATGTGAGGCAACTGATGGGTGTTTCTCTCTCACACTGATGTTTCTCTCCCTTCCTCTCTCCCTCCCTTCCCCTCTAAGTCAATAATCATGTCCTCAGTGGGAATAGGAAAAAAATATATGTGTGTATATATATATTTAAACTTCTCTTGGACTTGATAACAACTGTATTCTTCAAAGTGTACCATGCTTAGTAAGCGAATGTTTAAGCAAGCTCACTCAGAGCAAAGAACTTAGGGTGTCAGAACAAAGAACTTAGAAGATACTACCCTATACTTTACTCTCAAACTATTTTTTATAAATGAAAAGCATTGTTATAAACAAGTCCGGGATAAAAAAAAATGGTACAAATCAAGCTAATCAGTCTTTCTAGAAAATAACCCAGCCAATGTTCTGTGGTATTTACTTATCAATATCTTTGATAAATAGAATGAAGTTCTGGGTTTTCTGGGTAGTGTTTTAGCTTTCATTTCATTTTCACAGAACAAGTGAAAATTACACGACATCTCAATAATCTTTTCAGGAAGTCTCAATCTTGGGTGTAACATCATCATGCGTCACTTAACGATAGGGATGCATTCTGAGAAATGCATCGTTGTGCAATTTTGTAGTTCTGCAAACATCATGGAGCACACTTAACCAAACCTAGATGGCATAGCCCACTCCACACGTAGGTCATACAATATAGCCTAGTGCTCCTAGGCTATGAACCTGTGCAGCATGTTGCTACGTAAATACTGTAGGCAGCTGTAAGATAAGAGTTAAGTATTTGTATATTTCAACATAAAAAAGATATAGCAAAAATATGACAGAAGAGATTAAAAGCGGTCCACCCCTGCGGCGCTCTTACCTTGGTGGAGGAGGCAGGACTGATAGCTGTCTGGGTGACTAAGCAGTAAGTGAACATAAAGGGCACCCCTGTGTATAGTACGGTAGACTCCACAGACAGGGCCCCACAGGGCCCCTCCCCCCCCCCCCCCCCCCCCGCTTCCTTCCAACAGGGTCAGGAACAGAACACTGAAGCTGTCAGTGCTGCTCTATGAACAGGGATGTGGGCTGACTGGAGATATCGAGGAGAAACTGGCTGGGTGAGGCATTGACACCATAATGGTGACTGTCAGTGGGGAGTGAAAGGGGGCCTGAGGGTCGGTGTGAATAAGAAATCAAGACAGACAAGGGGACATGGGAGGCTGTTGTGGCAATGTGGTTTTGGCTATTGCATGTTGGAGCAGTGGTTGGATTAACAGACACTGTGGCCCTGGCTGGTGTGGCTCAGTGGATTGAGCACTGGTCTGTGAATCCAGGGGCCTCCAGTTCAATTCCCAGTCAAGGTACATGCCTGGGTTGCAGGCCAGGTCCCTGGTTGGGGGCACATGAGAGACAACCATACATTGATGTTTCTCTCCCTCTCTTTCTCCCTCCCTTCTCCTTTCTCAATAAATACATAAATACATTATTTTTAAAAAGAAACATTGTGGTTTTCATAACAAAGAATAACAGAGAGAGGATGTAAAATTGAAGACTCAGTATTTTGACTTTGAAAACATGTTTTTGGTTTCATTGACCCTATCTGGCATAAAGGGATCTCTCCCTGGCATTGAACTGATGAAATATGACTTATCTATACTTTACATCATTCCACTCTGAAAATATTCCCAAAGTACAAGGCAGCCTGCCTCCACACTAGCCACCAAAAGCTTTTACCACAGCGGCAGTGGCACTTAATACTTGTTCAGGTAGCTCCTGGCCCTGTGTCCTTGGGCAGTATCAGCAAGAGTTCACATCAGAGCACCCTGAAGACCATCAGGCTAGACTGGGGAGGGCAGTAGCAATCTCCGAATATGTAGTGATAAGGGACAGGCCCCTCTGTGCCGATACAGGTCCATGGGCTGTAGTCTGTGCTCTCAACATCAAGGTGCTGTGACAGGGAATCTGTCGCCAAGCCCCACAGATATCGCTCCCCTCAGAGAAAAGTAAACAAACCCTCCTGAACCACACGTCCTTCCATTGCTTACAAGTTCAGTTCCATGGGAATGTATCAGGGCCACTGCCATACGCACGGTCTGTCCTTGACTGGAGTGCTGTTAAGCGGCGTGTGACTGGGTAATAACGGGAAGTCCCAGATTTGTATCAGCACGTTGGATTACAGTTCATCACTCAAGTGAAAAATTTCCAGATCTATTTCTTATTTGCTTAAACTGTTGAAGTAATCAGTTGGCCTTCTACCAATTCTTTCCTAAGTTTGGCTGGTGATTTGTTTCAGAATTCTGATAAGATGCATAATAGTCTCCCACAGATGCCCAAGCCCTAAACTGCAGAACCTGATCAAAGACACTTTGAAGATGTGATCAAGTGAAGGATCTTGGGATGGGGAAATTAGCCTGTGTTATCGGGAGGGGCCCCACGTGAACACAAGGGCCCTTGTAAGAGGCAGACAGAGACCAGGGAGTAAACAGAAGCGAGAGGCTGGAGAGACATGCGGGAGTCACAGCCAGAAAATGCAGGTGGCCCTAGAAACTGACAAAGGCAAGGAAATCGATTCCTTCCCATCCCAGCAGGAAGCAGCCCTGCCAGCCCCTTGTCTGTAGCCCAGTGGGACTAATGGTGGACCTCTGGCCTTCAGAACTGTTAGGTGATAATTTTTTTAAGTTACTCAGCTTCTGGCTATTTGTTACAGCAGCAATAAGAAACCAAGAAAAACATTCAAGATACATAGCTGCACCTTTCATTAGGTTGTTCTGAATATTGGTGTTAATATTTGATTGCTACACCAAGTATCTAAGTTTGCTGCAACCCTGTAAAAATATAATCTGTTGTCGGTTTAGATTTTGTTGATGACTTGAGAAAATAAGATGCGTCTCTCTCTGAGAAAACCCCTACGTAAAAATTCAGAATTAAAAGATAAAAGGGTGGCTTAGTCATTTTACCAAAAGATGTTTTGTGTATCAGAGGCAAATGAGTCTTAAAGACTGAGCCACACTGAAACATTTGCTAAGTGAGTCAACTCAGAAAATTGCAAACTGCTTCCAAATTTTGGGAGCACTTGTACTGCATAAGGAAATCAGGCAAAGAAATAAGGGATTGGTAAATAAAAGAAATAAAATACAACTTTTAAAAATAAAAGTGATTTGAGCACAGAGAACTCTAAAATAGGCTTGGCCTCATTAGCCTTAATACTTTTCCTTATATTCGTCACTAGTGCCCAAATGTACTGAGTTGTATAAGTTACGTAAGATAAGTTATTCTGAGAAATAAGCCAGGCGGTGACAGACAAATACCATATGATCTCACCTTTAACAGCAAGCTAAACAACAAAACAAACAAGCAAAACATAACCAAAGACAATGAAATAGAGAACAGGTGGACAGTGACCAGAGGGGCCAGGGGGGAGAATTTCAGGGGAAATGGGGAAGGGTTTACAGGAACAAGTATAAAGGACACATGGACAAGAACTAGAGTGGGTGGAAATGGGAGGGAGGTGGGGAGGGCTGGGGAGGGTTGCCTGGGATGGGAGTGAAAGACAGAAAACTGTACTTGAACAAAAATTAAATTAAAAAGAAATAAAAAGATAAGTTATTCTGAAGTACCTGGATTTGCATCTGGCACACAGCAGGTGTACGAGAGAGATTAGTTGAGTGTGAATAGTGGCGGTGGGAGGAGCTGTGTATTGGGAGGCGATGGATGTGACTGTCAGCTTAGTTAAGAGAGACAGGCTTTTCCTTTTTCCAGTACAGGAGAGGGGAAAGGGGCCCCTTCACTCTGGCCCTGTGCCAGGGCCTCCAACTGTTACTGTTAGCTACCACAGATAACTTATGTTGATACTGACATACTCTAGACCGTCACACTTTAATAATGCCAGAGAATCTATGAACACCCAATGAGTTTTCCAAGTTCTCTTACCGATGAGACAACAAATCTAAGTGGTTGCTCTAGTAGATCATTGTTCAGCATTTGCCGAAAGGCGAATAGCTGATTAATTGCTCTCCCCACTCTCTCTGTTGTCACAGTGGAATTAGTCAGTGTTTTCCACCAGCAGGCCGTGAGGCAGCTGCAGAGCATATGGCTACCTGACCCACTGTCACCGGATGTCAGCACAAGCTGCTCCAGAATTCAGCCGGCTAATTAAGTGGCTAAGCCCTGGTGAGTGGGGTGTAGGGACTTTATCTCCAAGTGACGTTTGCACGTTGCACTTTACATGAGACTGAAGGCGGTTCACACCCCCACTGGACGGTCCCTGATGGGAGACGTGTTGGGGCCTCCACGGAGCTGCGCCTTTGCCTTTTCCACGCTTGTCCTGATGATAATGGAGGACAGTACCGATTCCTTCCCACTCCTCAGCACATCAGCAGACTGGATCGAGACGTGGAATCTGAGGCTTTCCTTAGCTGAAATGTGTGCCTTTGAAAGTGCAACGTCGATAAAACCTTGAATTCACCATTTGTACAGAAAGCACAGGGCCCAATAGTAATAATGGTTTTTCTAACCTAAATTGGATGTGTGACCCCAAAATGCAAATGAGCTCTGATTCCTTTCAGATCTGAAATTGTATAATTGTATATTTTAAACTAGTTGTCTTTTCCAACCTGGCGTTATTTGTTTTTAAAGCAGTGGTTTCCAACTGGGGGTTATTTTCCCTCCTAGGGGATATTGGGCAACATCTGGATACATTTATTGTTATCACAGCTGGCGGTGGGGCATTGTTGGCATCTAGTGGGTTGCTATGGACAGATCGCGTCCACCCCCCAAATTCATAAGTTCCTACACCTTATTCATTGGTGTGCCTAATTGATGGTGTTTGGAGGTGGGGCCTTTGGGAGGTAATTAGGTCGTAACTCTCTGTGATGGGGTTAATGTCCTTATAAGAAGAGATAGGTAGCTCTAGCTCTCTCTCTCCACCACGTGAGGCTGCAATAAGAAGACAGGCAGGTCTAAGCCAGGAGAAGGGCCTTTACCAAGAAACTCAACTGTTTCTGGCAGCCCGGTCCCGATTCTCCAGCCTCCAGAACTGAGAGACATAAACGTGTGGTGTGCCAGCTACCTCATCTGTTATAGCACCTGAACGAAGGCGTGGCCAGAGCCCAGAGATGCTGCCGAACATCCTACACTGTGCAGGATGGCTCCTCACAATGAAGAACGACTGGTCCCACAATGTCAGAAGTGCTGAGGTTGAGAAACCCATGAATGGGTACATGCCGGAGAGAACCATGTGGGTTAGCGAAGGGAGCTTGTTGTGAGCAAAAGCCAGCACTTGTATTTCCTGGGAACGTTTTTGCTAGTTGCCTAGTTGCAATGTTGCAATGTTGATCATTACTTAAGAGGAGGCAAAGCATTCTCAGACTGAGTGGGAGACACAGATGTGAACCTTCTTAATTATGAGAAAGTTTCTCTGCCAAGGACACTCGGGACTATAATGTGCGCATTTGCACAAACAGAAGACATTTAAATTATCCATCTCCTCAGTTTTCCTTCCCCTGCTCCCGATTCCATCAAAGAAGTACTCACAAGAAGTTCCTTTTGCCTTAGGCATAACCAAAGAATTCTCTCCCTGATGGGAACTCCTCTCCCTACCAGGGAAGAATTCTCCCTGCAAAGTCTTGCATACCTTTCTGCTGCAGGCTCAGATCCACACACATCAGTCCCAGGGTGTTGCCTATAAGGGCTTGATGTTCAAAAGCATAGGCCAGCAGCTCGGGCACCACCTGAGAGCTTGTTAGAAATGCAGAATCTCAGGCCCAGCCCGGGCCTTCTAAGAGAACCTGCAGTGTTACAAGATGGGGTAGGCGGGGGAGTTGCTAGGCACTTGATTGAGCAGCACTGCTTGATGATCTTCATTCTATGGTAATACAGCCCTAATTTTTGAGACTGTGAACAAAATGGATTTAACTCTTATGAAAACAGGTGGGCATTTGTTTGTGGCTAGTTAGGTTTGACTGAGGAACCTGGCTCACTTGTTGGGCTCCAGTATTCTCTTTGTAAAAAGATAGCAGACAGAAGAGGCTTGCCGAGTTCTTTTCCACTTTTGACATTGTAGGAGATAGAATTGTTTCCCTCCAGTGAAAACATCATTTATAACTAAGCTGTCTTGGTGAGTATAAACTTCACAGAAAAAGGTCTCTGGCCAGTACATTCCACAGATACATGGACCCACATTAACTATCACTGATTTCTTATGTAAAATATTTCACCCCCAAACCTGAATCTGACCCTACTGAAGTCAGGGGTGAGCCTCTTGATTGGCACGTGGGCCTATTCTCAGCAGTGGTCTTCTTTGCCTGCCCAGTGGCCTGAACATTGGGGATTATTAACCAATTATCAAGGGCCAGCCTTGCCTGTACAAGCTGGCTCTGCCCGGGTTTGCAGAGGGTGTGGGGCAGGCCCTGCTTACTTGCTCCTGGTCACCCCACCTGAGTCCCAAAGGAGAAGATGCCAGCTACCATCGAGCCAGTGCCATCTGAAGACAGAAAGGCTGGGTGTAGGAAGACCCAGTAGCACAAAGACGAAAAGTGTCTGCAGTTTGATTTCTTCCAAGAGCTACCTCTGGAGAGTGACTGGGGAGATGGCACTTCTGCTTTCCCATTTGTGTAATGCAAGAGACTGCAAGATCTCAACTGGAAGCCAGATCGCAGAACTACCACCCCTGTCCACCCACAAAGTACAGGAGGGGCCCTCAAAGGGATTTTCCCTCTGGAAGAGATGGAGTCAGTAAATCAGAAGTGAAATTTATTTTTACTGTAAACTAGGGCATAAAAAACGCTAGTTTATTATTGTGTAGGTAGCCAGTGTAAACAGCTCTGCGACCTAGAAGTGAAACAATGTCACCCTTCTTCACTTCCCAGATCATATTAGAACCAAGCTCAGCTGCCGGCCACCAGACAAGCAAAACGTCTGGTATGACTTCCTCACCCCAGGTGGTTCCAGAACTGAGAGGACTTTCGCCTCCTTTCTGCGGCAGGTGGTCAGGTGGGAGGGTCAGGTGGCGTCCAGGCCACGGGCTGCTGGGGACCTGGCCCTGTCCTCACGTGCGCTCCGTTCTCACAGGCGCTGTCAGCCCGGCTTGCAGCCCACGCAGTCAGCTCCCTGCTGGCCAGTGGCGCCCTCGCTGACGCGAGAGGAATGGACCGTCGAAATAGAAAAACCTGCCCCTTGTACCTCCACAAGAAGGAGAGAGTTTATCTTTTTTCAGCCCATTAATGAGGCACCAGGCTGCCTCCTCACGCCCCTCCTTGGGGAAGGTGCAGCGATGGGCACACCCAGAAGAGACAAGTAGAGGGTTAGCTCCCAGGGGGGCCGTCCACTCTGCTTAGAGTGCTGACTCCAGAATATTCCCCACCCCTG